AAAGCTGCCTGCCTGCCTTCCTTTGATTCTCTCTGAACTGCCTGGTCGTTTTTAATGTTTAATGTCAACCATTTGTGCAGATAGCATGAAGTAGAGAAGATCGCTAGCGTTAGCGTTAGCATTTCTCCCCCGGGCTTAAATTGTGTATTATAGAATGATCACACCGGTGACAGTACTATTCAAAGGGTTCACGAAATATGACTACTACTCTTACTGTTTAACATTTTGGGTTACTTAATGTTACTTCATGTTAAGGCTAATAAAAATGACAAGGCTGTAATGCTAACTAACGTGCTAGCTACTAGCTAGGTAGCTAACTTGATCCACACACTCCTCTTTCATCAGACGGGAAGCGAAAGAACGAGCAAGACCCATTGCTGGTATAATAACAACCTGGTACTAAGCACACAGGCACAAAGTTATCTTATCTTAGCTGATCGTATATATACGGTATTATACGTGTATCGTAGTGTCTCAATTGTGACATCACTTACGCGACTCTGGGATTTGTAGTCTTTCTAGTTTCGTATTTTTCAAAGTCTTATATTTCAACAGTTTTAAGACAAACTGTGACTTTTTGACATGGAAATGATTTTTTAAGATTGACAAACATCATATGTGTAATTCATGGCACAATTCAAACGGGATCGAAAGATACGTTTTCTCTCCCCATTGACTTCAATGCATAATTTTTCCGAAATAAGGTCCCATACCCCGGAAGTAAGTGGGAGGGACTTCGCCACTCTATGCCTTGCAAAAGTATTCACCCCCCTTGGCATTTTTCTTGTTTTTTTTGGAGAATTTGTATTATTTGATGTACACAACATGCCTACAACTTTGAAGATGCAAAACATATTTTTATTGTGAAACAAACAAGAAATAATAATGAAAAAGAGAAAACATGAGCGTGCATAACTATTCACCCCCCCAAAGTCAATACTTTGTAGAGCCACCTTTTGCAGCAATAACAGCTGCAGGTCTCTTGGGATATGTGTCTATAAGGCACATCTTTCCACTGGGATTTGTTTCCATTCTTCTTGGCAAAACTGCTCCAGCTCCTTTAGGTTAGATGGGTAGGGCTGAACGATGAATCGAAAATGCGATTTGAAATGATGCGATTATCAAATCGCAAAGCCTGCGATTTTTTTCTTGTGTGTCAGTCATCCACACCAATCAGAAGTGCTTTGCTCCACATGTACCAGTCATTGTTAACCAATCAGAAGTGGCCCATGATCGAAGGTGATAGACAGATTGATCCAATCACCTGCCAAGTATTTTTGAAAGTGCCTGCCCTTTTCCAAATGGCTTCCAATGGAGCTTTCATAGATGGTTTGGTGAAACAAACCATCTGAGTCAGGTTAGTAATGCTCCATCACATGTTCTATTACAGGGTGACTCTTAAACTGAAGCTTGACTTTAAAGCAACCCAACGGAAGTTTCATGTAAGTTTAGTTCTTTCACTCGTAGCTCGGGCTGCGGGGGTGCTAGAGACGGGAGCACGTTGATACGACCTTCCTAGCTGGAGATATGGCCGCATTTTACAATAAACTTCCGTTGGGTCGCTTAAAAACAAATATCGCAAATCGAAACGCAATATCTGTCAGAAAAATCACAATTTTCCCCAAATCGTGCAGCCCTAATGTACAGCCTCCTTTAGGTCATACCACAGATTTTCGATTGGATTAAGGGCTCTGACTAGGCCACTCCAAAACGTTTAAATGTGTCCCCTTAAACCACTCTAGCGTTGCTTTAGCAGTATGCTTTGGGTCATTGTCCTGCTGGAAGGTGAACCTCAAGTATTTCCCTGTATTTAGCTCCATTCATCACTCCTTCTATTTTTACCAGCTTCCCAGTCCCTGCCGATGAAAAGCATCTCCACAACATGATGCTGCCACCACCTTGCTTCACTGTGGGGATGGTGTTCTGAGGGTGATCAGAGGTGTTGGGTTTGCGCCAGACATAACGTTTACCTTGATGGCCAAAAAGTTCAATTTCAGTCTCATCCGACCACAGGACCTTCTTCCACATGTTTGGGGAATCTTCCACATGCCTTTTGGAGAACTCCAAACATGTTTTCTTATTTTGTTTTGCGACTCTTCCATAAAGCCCAGCTCTGTGGAGTGTACGGCTTACTGTGGTCCTATGTACAGATTCTCCTCTCTCTGCTGTGGAGCTTACCAGCTCCTCCAGGGTTATCCTCGGCCTCTTTGTTGCCTCTCTGATCAATGCTCTCCTTGCACGGTGTGAGAGTTTTGGTGGGCGGCCCTCTCTTGGCAGGTTTGTTGTCGTGGCATATTTTTTCCATTTTAAAATAATGGATTTAATGGTGCGTCGTGATGTTCAACGTTTGTGAGATTTTTTTATAACCCAACCCTGTCTCATACTTTCCCACAACTTTGTCCCTGACCTGTTTGGAGAGCTCTTTAGTCTTCATGGTGTCGTTTTCTCACTTAGAAAGGCCACTTGCTGTGGTATGGAGGACTGAGGCCTTCTCCAGCAGGTGTATATATACAGAGACAATGAGGCACTTGATTTAACACAGGTGGACTTTATTTAAATAATTGTGTGACTCTGAAGGTCTTTGTTTGGGCTAAATAGCAAAGGGGGTGAATACATATGCACACACCACTTTTGTTTTTTTTTATTATTTTTTATGTTTTAAAACATGCTCTTTTTTTAAACTTCACTAATTTTGACTGACTTTGTTTGGGGCCTTGCCATAAAATCCCCCCAAAAATATTATATTATTTTTGTTTGCAAGAAAATAGGGAACATTGCAAGGGGGGTGAATACTTTTGCAAAACACTGTAGAGTGTATTCCTAAAGCCTACAGTTGGTGTTAGATAATGAGTAATAGAAGACGCCCCCACCCGATAAGAAAAATATAATCTCACTGATATTTTCTTATAATAAATTAATTCTTATATACTTGAAGACATGATGATGTCAGTTTTTTGATACATTTTTCAGCCAAGTGATCATCTGTGTAGCCAATGGGGTTGTGTTGACAGAACTGTAAAGAACTAGGGCACCCTGAATACATCATGACCAGAGAAGCAGACTGCTGTAAGATAGTCATCTCATTCATTAGTAACATATATCAACTATGATCAATATTAAAATCGAGCTGCCCCCACATGGACACAAACTGTTACTGCAGGTTCAAAGATATTGATTAGTTGAATTGAGCAGAAATGTGTTCATGTGACGCTGTATTCATAAACAAACAAACAATCAGTGAAATATTGATTTTGACTCTTTCTTTTATTTTAAATGACAACATTAAACAAGAAGTTGATTTTGTGGGAAACAAGAATGACATGCATTACTTCAGATTGAGCTAACAGAGAATGAGATCAGCATGCTCACAAGAATAACAGACTATATTATCATATTATATATTTGACCAGTTGTTGTTTTAAAAATACAAACACTGTATAATATTGTGCAATTTCTGTTGTATTGAGAAAAGGTTATCATTTAGCAGATGGGTTCCAAATTTAAATTTGGAAAGAGGAAAAAGATACATTTTTATTGTGTATCGTAACAAAGGTTTGCAGACAAGAATGTTTAAACTAACATTTATAACTCAGACGCTACCTTCTAAAATGATCTTAAAGAGCTTTTCTAATAAGAGTTGAATATTTAATGTAAACCAACCAATTGTAAATGTATCATCAGCCAATTTAGAGTCAATCAGAATGTTTTAATACATCTGAAGGTCTGTTAAAGGACACGACCTCTCACCCTTTAAAACAAGAAGGACACTTCAATTTACAGGTTGGACATTTTGATGGTATGGCAATACCGGTAACGCGAGTGATCACATCTATGTATTCACAGACGTCGGTAGCTGCACTTGCTGTAACACAGGCATAATATTTATTACCGAAAGAAATGACACCGTAAATCTTCTTGTCGAACACCAAGCCTCCACCAGAGTCCCCCTGAGAGAGAGAGAGAGAGAGATGTACAAATTGTTTACCACTGATCTTGAATCATTTACTGGAAGACTTATTTTAATATTCTGGTTAAACATAAAGAGCCAAGCCCACTCACTCTACTTATATCCACATTAGTCTTTTGGAAACAGATCAAGTTGTCAAGTGCATAGTAATAGTCTGGTTTTCGAGGCAGACAGGTTCTGCTCCTCACACAGTCAACAACCACTGTGTCTGCACATTGGAGAGTGTCTGACGGATTGAAGTTTCCTAGATGACAACATACAAATATGGGGTTTTAATACAACTTGATCAAATGAACATGCACACAGAAAAGTATAATCTATGTCTGTGTATGTGTAGACCTACATACTGTAAATCAGTGGTGGACAAAGTATTCATTACATTACATGTCACTTGTTCAGCGATACCAAAGATCAGCGCACTGAGTCACAGCCTATTCAGAATATTTACTTGAGTATTAATACCTCATTAAAAAAAATACACAACTTCAAGTAAAGTACTACATAGAGTATGGTAGGAACATTATTTAAGTATGATTAGGAAAATGTACTCCAAAAATATTTTAAATATTTTAAAGCAAAAGCTGGAACTGTGAAATATAATTGAACAAAAAACTTGCGAGGCCACTTTTTTTTCAGTTTTAGTTCCTTAAATATAATGTTGGTTTATACAAATTGTATTTTAAATATTTGTATGTCAACATCTGAATCTATAAAGTATCTAGTAAATTAATCTGTAAAATAAATGTAGTCAAGTAAAAAGTACAATATTCCCTCCAAAATATAGTACACATTATACATTCAAAATACATTACAGTACTTGAGTAAATGCATATAGTTACTTTCCACTACTGCTGTTAATTTGCATATATGTAAATATGAGTCAATTGTAATTACAAAATAAACAAGATTCCTCTCACCCCTTGAACCATCAGCATTCTTCTGTGTGGCTCCTCTACCTGCAATCTGAACTGTTTACGTCTGAAAAACGTAATTAACATTAAGAAAAAAAAAGACAGGGGGATTTCTCAGTTTGAGTTTTTCAAAAGTTGAAGTTCAGATTTATTAAAGATCACAACTCACGGTTTGGGACGTTTGCCACAGTCAGGAAGATCTACAGTTGGAAAGTTTATTGCAGGTGTATCTAGCTTCAGCAGCATGATGTCATGGGTCAGGTGTTGTTCGTCTACCAGTCGAAAAGGTCTTGCATTGACTGACACTGCTTTTGATGGATCTGGGTGCTCATTTAAAACTGCTGTCACAGTCCTACAAACATGTAAAGGTTAAAGAGCAACATCACAGAATTAGTGCACATGCAGCATGATTTATTCATATTGGTAATTTTTGCCACTTATTGATTTTTTTTTAGATTGGATTTATGAGTATGACATATATTGTTCTGTTATTATTTATTTTAATTAAAACTTTCTCACCAACCCGGCTCCACACAGTGAGCTGCAGTCAGAATCCAATTCTGACTGATCAGAGATCCACCACAAGTAGCCACATGACTCCCATTATTTGCTGTCAGCCTCACATGGTAACGGCGGTCATTATCCTTACATTTTTTACCTCCGATGATTCTCTTCTGCAGATCTACCACTCTGCCCACTGCCACACCTGAAAGAGAAAATAACCCCCTATGAGACTTAAAGTAAGAACAGTGGTTGTTGTAGATAATTCATTCCCATTCCCCCCAAGTTATTAATATACATGGTGAAATGTGGCAAAAATGTTTTGAGTGTTCTACTCAGTCTTCTGTAAGTAGCACTTAGAAAGGTTTAGCTTATTTGAAGTGAGTACTGTAGCACTTTTTGGCATATTGGAAGCTAAAATATCTGCAGGATTATGGTCGATTGCACTTAAATTATCTAAATTATATGTAATTCAAATTAATATAATGAGAGTAAGGTTCTCATTGCACTGTAAATATCAAGAGCTTTAAAGAATCCCAGTTTGAGATTGCATGTCTGACGTCTCTCTGCTCTGCTAGAGAGGCGAAGTCCCTCCCTTTCCGGTGGACCTCATGGGACCTTATTTCTGAAGAATTATGTATTGAAGTCAATAGCAAGAGAAAACGTATCTTTCGATCCTGTTTGAATTGTGCCATGAATTACACATATGATGTTTGTCAATCTTAAAAAATAATTTCCATGTCAAAAAAGTCACAGTTTGTCGTAAAAACATAAGACTATGAAAAATACGCAACTAGAAAGATTATAAATCCCAGAGTCGCGTAAGTGATGTCACAATTGATGTCATAATTGTTTTCCTCCACTAAATATAAGAGATATCTAAGATAAGATAACTTTAACAAGATGCCTGTGTGCTTTGTAGCAGGTTGTAATCATACCAGCAATGGGTCTGGCTCGTTCTTTCGCTTCCCGTCTGATGAAAGGACCAGGAGTGACTGGATCAAGTTAGCTACCTAGCTAGTAGCAAGCACGTTAGTTAGCATTACAGCCTTAGCCTTGTCATTTTTATTAGCCTTAACATGAAGTAACATTAAGTAACCCAAAATGTTAAACAGTAAGAGTAGTAGTCATATTTCGTGAACCCTTTGAAGAGTACTGTCACCGGTGTGATCATTCTATAATACACAATTTAAGCCCGGATGCCCCCGGGGGACACATGCTAATGCTACATTAGCATCTGCAATCTTTTCTACTTCATGCTATCTGCACAAATGGTTGACATTGAACATTAAAAAGATCAGGCAGTTCAGAGAGTATCGAAGGAAGGCAATCAGGCAGCTTTGCATGACATTCTTCTGGATGTGTTTCATTGTGGTGATAGTGAGGGTGAATTCCCTTTTCTGGCAAGACATTAGTGACGGCCATCTTGGTGACGTGTGTTGTTGTGCGAGACCAGAGATGTAGTTCATTGAGCGGTTTCACACAAAAAAGGTCTTACTTCACAGTTTTACAGCAAAACATTTGTTTTTTTAACTTGCAAAATTATCTTTTAAATTGACAAACATCATATGTGTAATTCGTGGCACAATTCAAAGGGGATCGAAAGATAACTTTTCTCTCGCCATTGACTTCAATACATAATTTTTCCGAAATAAGATCCCATGGAGGTCCACCGGAAAGGGAGGGACTTCGCCTCTCTATTGCCTTCCAACGTTTGCTGTCTCAACCTCTTGATCTGCTTCTAAGCACCTGGATATACTATAATATACTATACTATAATATACTATACTTATACTTATACTTATACTTTAACTGGCTTCCCTTTAAAGAAGCCATTAGGAAAACGTAAAAACATCCATTATGTCATTGACCGACAGCTTCCTTCTGAAACTCTGGCCCCAGGATAACATATCTCTTGTTGGGTGGATTTACTCAACTCAATACTTAACTCACCTAAGTGCTATCTCAGAGCATAAGAAAGGTGAAAGTAGGCAGCAGAAGTCTGAGTAGGAGCTGATACTCACCGGCCAACAGCAAAAGGAGAAGACTTGTCATCATGCCCGCCATCTCTGCCAGAGTCTGCCCTCCTGGTGCCACAGTGGAGCTTTTTAAACCTCTTCACACTGTCCTGTTGGCCTTCCAGCCACCAATCACCTCAGGAAGGTTTATCCACACAACCCCATTGGCTGCACAGATGGGCCCATTTGCACATTTCTGATCCCTTATCAGGTGTTCCTGCCCTATGGGTGGAAAATGGATCAAAAATAAAAGAACTGACTTCATTGTGTCTTCAAGTAGATAGTATTATTTAAGTATATGATGAAAATACTCAGAATCAGAATACCTTTATTAGTCCCACAGAGGGTACATTTCCATGTGTTACAGCAGACAAGAGCCAAAGAACGCTTAATGTTCACTAAGAAGCATGCATACAAAAAAATTCAAGATAGAAAATACAAAAAACACAATTTCCAAAATACAAAATACACATCCTGTAATCGTTTTGAAGATATAGCAGCCAGGTATATATTGCACAGTTATTACCGGCATATATATTGCACATCATTCGTATTTTCGGGATTGTGGGAAACGGTATTTCGATCTCTCTGTCTGTACACACAAACTGAAAGATTGACAATATGGTTGACTTTGACTTTGATTTCACCGTAATACATACTTGTATTAGTAAGAGTTGGCCTTAAATTGACGTTTTGACTGGAAATAACTCCATTTGAAGCAATAAAGTGAACATGTTACTGTATATCTGTACAGTAGGTGTCTGCATTCACTCTGCATTTGGCCCCTTTTAAACCTCTTATGGCACATTTCCACCGCAGGCCTCGCTCGGCTTAGTACGGTTTTGTTAGGCCTTGTTAGGCCCGGCTCACTTTAATGCTGCGCTTCCATTACAGTTTAGGAACTGGGGTAGTATCTATAGTAACGCAGTGTAGGCGGAGCTGTGACGTCATCTTCAATGAGCACCCCAGAAAAACAACATCAGCCGTTAGCTGTTAGCACTCAGAGCTCACAGCTCCTCATATCTGTTCAGAAACTAGACAAAAGTTAAACAAGTACAAACCACAGACTGTCTGTGTCATGGTGAATACAGTCGCTGCTTTATTTATGTCTGTATAGGCCGCTGTTGTGAGTGTGGACGGTCGGAGCATATACTGCGTTAGCTTAGCCAATCTCCATTCAGAAAACACGCATTTTAAAAGGTTTTTCGCCTGCCGTTTGTCTGCAGACTTGACAAAGCATTAATTCATGGTTTTTACTAACCGGTATCAGTATGTTGTTACTTCGGCATCATTTTGAAACGTGTATTACAAATATGTCAAATATGTTCATCTTGTTGTAGTTGTAGCCCCCTTGCCAGCGATTCTCTCTCTAGCTTAGCAAACTCAGCCCGACTCAGCCCTGTGTGTTGGCCCCGATAGAACCACGATTTTGTCGGGCCAGAAAAGAGGTGAAAAAGTAGCCCCGGGCCGGAACTAGGCATAGTGGAAACGCAACCAAAAACGGGCCCGGCACGACACGGCACCCTTATACCGTGCTCCGCGCCATGGTGGAAATGCGCCATTAGAGATTAGTTCCCTCCTTCAAACAAAGGGAATAATAACCATTTACTGTGGGCTTTTGGGTTGCAAAGGTACATGTAAAGTGAAGTAAAGTGAAGGCTGAGTATCACTGGTTTATTGTGTTTTTTAAAACCAAAGCGCTATTTCTGCAATTGCTTTATTTTAAGTAGAGAAGACTATGTATTCGATTGGTAGAATAGAATAGAAAGCCTTTATTATGATTATACAAAAATAAACAATGAGATTTTGTTTTGAAACCCTGTCACATAGGAAAACAGACAACAATAAAAAACACAAAGTCAATCATACAAGGGGGTAATAAATAGTTAAAAGCAAGAAGCTATAAAAAGCTATAAAGTGCATTAAAGAAGGGATTAAATTGCAAATGAATTGGTTAATTATAATGATGTTGCCCTTAGGACTGCAGGTTGAACAGCCTGGGGGCTCAGGGGTAAAAACAGTTGTTCAGTCTGTTTGTCCGTGTTTTAAAACTCCTGTATCTCCTACCAGGAGGCAGGAGAGAGGCATCGGGAGCTGGAGAGGGCTTCCAGAGAGGGCAGCCGATGGTTCTCTCCACCATTTGTATAACCCAAACAGCCAGCATACCACACCGAGATGCAGCATGTGGGCACGCTCTCGGTGGTGGTCCGGTAGAAGGACACCAGCAGCTCTTCCTTCAGTCTGTTCTTCCGAAGCACCCTCAGGAAGAGAAGTCGCTGCTGGGCCTTCTTCACTGCTGCAGTGCTGTGTGCTGTCCAGCTGAGGCTCTCGGAGATATGGACCCCCAAGAACATGAAGATGGAGACCCTCTCCACTCTGTCTATATATAGAAATGTATTTATTAGGATAAACCCCTTGAGAATCAGAAACAGGTTTATTACCAGGTAGGTTTACACATACGAGGAATTTGACTTGACGTCATGGTGCGTACATACAAATAAAATATGAATTAAAACACAGGTAGGGAACTAGAAATATTATTAAAAATAATACAAAATATAATACAAATATAGTAAAATATAACAGTATTTACATTGCAATGGAATGGAATGAAAAAAGGAATAAAATATGAATAGAAATCGGCAGTAATAAAAAAGACAAGAACAGAGAACAGATCTCGTTTTCAAGGCAGCAGCGTCTTACAGACATACATGAACAAAATAACAGAAAGCAAAGCATGACAAACCACGTACAGTCTGTTAAGTAACATTCATGTAATACATACAATCATTACAATGTGATAGACTGTAGTGTCTAATGGATCAGTTTCATCAATAACAAGAGCAGAGCAGCTGAAAGTGAGATGATGATGCTTCAACATACCCAATGATGACAGGGATCTGACAGCAGCAGCTCAACTATTCCAGTCTGTTGGGGCTTTGAACATCAACGCTCTGCTGACAATACATGTTTTCACAGAGGGGACGGAGAAATGTATATGGACAGTGTCTAACTTGATAGTTTGACGAGTAAGGTACAAAATACTGCTTTAAATAAGTAAATGCATTTAAACATGAGGGGGGGGGGTTCTGCTCTGTTTCTTGTAGTCAATGATGGGTTCTTTAGTTGAGGAACAGGTTGTTGTCAGTACACAAGGCAGAACACTTCAGGAACACGTCTCTGAACGCCGACTCGACTTCATCATGGATGAGACCGACCACAGTGTTGTCGTCGGCAAATGTAATAATGGAGTTAGAGTGGTGGATGGGAGAGCAGTTGTGTGTGTATAGTGTGTGTAGGAGAGGGTTCAGCAAGCTCAGAAAGGGTGGTCCTCAATCCCCCTGTGAATGTGTCTGGACCTCAGCTCTGTGAATTTACAAGGTGTGTGTGTGTGTGTGTGTGTGTGTGTGTGTGTGTGTGTGTGTGTGTGTGTGTGTGTGTGTGTGTGTGTGTGTGTGTGTGTGTGTGTGTGTGTGTGTGTGTGTGTGTGTGTGTGTGTGTGTGTGTGTGTGTGTGTGTGTGTGTGTGTGGCTGCTCTCAGCTCTGTAACACGTCAGTGCAGCTTAAGTCAAATTGAGGAGATATAAACGTAAAATGAAATGTCTGAATTGTCCATTGAAATGAACCACGAGGTTTTAGTGATAGATTGACATTTTGATATTTAAATAGACATTTGGATATGTGACAATAGCAGCCGTAGTGTGCTCACGTTTGGTTTATCAATTTATGATGTTCACACCATACGATAACACCCCCACACCAGTAGGCAAATTCAGCGATGTGTGGAGTCCTCTGTTTCAACACCAAAGAAATATTTTACTGAGTATGCAAACGGGCATAATCTGATCAAAACCTTGTGGTTCATTTCAATGGACAGTAAAACATGGAAATTCTTTAACGACTGAAGAGAGGAAACCCAGCAGAGCCAAGATCACACATTTGACATTTTAATTAGAAATAAAAATACAATTACTGACCCAAAAAAATCCAGTCTTGTGAGAGTGAGGACCACCCTTTCTGCTGCTAAACTTAAAGAGAACAAATACAACATTTCAGCACACAAACACACACACACACACACACACACACACACACACATACACACACACACACACACACACACACACACACACACACACACACACACACACACACACACACACACACAAAACACCCTCATAGTAACTAAGCCCTACACCAAGCTATCACTTTTAAGATGACCTTCTTCCTGCAGTGCTATTTAACAATTTCTGATTTAAATCCAGTTATGTCCAGTTTCTTATAATAAAACTCTGAAAGTCGGTGAATCATTTACATTCAAATGCCCAAACATTTTTTTTTTAATGTCTTATCACATATCGGATAAATTGTCGTCTCTGCTTAAAATAAAGAAATTGCAGAAATAGTGGGTTTAAAAAAAACACAATAAACCAGTGATACTCAACCTTAACTTTACTTCCCTTAACGTGTACCTTTGCAACCCAAAAGCCCAGAGTCAATGGTTATTATTCCCTTTGTTTGAAGGAAGAAACTGATCTCTAAGTGAATGCAGTCACCTACTGTACAGATATACAGTAACATGTTCCCTTCATTGCTTCAAATGGAATTCCTTCCAGTCAAAATGTCAACACTTACTAATATTTTCTTATTCTTTAATAATACGTATCTACTTGAAGTCACAATGAGGTCAGTTCTTGTATTTTTTATAAATATTTCAGTCATAGGGCAGGATAATTTGATAAGTGATCAGAAATGTGCAAATGGGCCCATCTGTGCAGCCAATGGGGTTGTGTGGATAAACCTTCCTGAGGTGATTGGTGGCTGGAAGGCCAACAGGACAGTGTGAAGAGGTTTAGAAAGCTCCACTGTGGCACCAGGAGGGCAGACGTTGGCAGAGATGGCGGGCATGATGACAAGTCTTCTCCTTTTGCTGTTGGCCGGTTTACTTCAAAAAGGTATATACTTTCAATATAAAAAAAAAAACTAAAATTTCAACTAAAATATAGTTACATGTCTTCATGTTAAATATCCTCAATAATTACAATCTGATGCAT